TGAGCTGCCTGAGCTTGTGAGCCGAGCTTTGCAGCAGAGCTTTGCATTTTTTGGATCAAGCAGTGACCCCTTTGTCGTTTCCTTGTGCCCTGCCAGGTCTGGCCCTGCTGCTGAACGCCCAGCTCGGTAGGTGCTGCTTCCCCAGCCCAGCTGCTGGCAGAGCTCGGCGCTGCCTCCCGGGCAGGAAGGGCCGGGCCGGGGCACCGAGCCCGAGCCGGGAGCCCGAGGGCACCGGGGGCTGCGGGACCGAGAATGGCCAGCCCGGAGGAGGAGGGGGCGACTGCGGGGCTGTGCTGGGAGCCCGGCAGTGTCCCAGGGGTGCCCAGCAGTGTCCCAGGGTTGCCCAGCAGTGTCCCAGGGGTGCCCAGGAATGTCCCAGGGGAGCCCATCAGTGTCCCAGGGGAGCCCAGCAATGTCCCAGGGTTGCCCAGCAGGTTCCCAAGAATTCCCAGCAATGTCCCAGGAGTGCCCAGCAGTAACCTATGGATGCTCAGCAATGTCCCAGGGATTCCCAGCCATGTCCCAGGAATTCCCAGCCATGTCCCAGGAATTCCCATCAGTGTCACAGGAGTGCCCAGCAATGTCCCAGGGTTGCCCAGCAGGTTCTCAGGAATTCCCAGCAGTGTCCCAGGAGTGCCCAGCAGTAACCTATGGATGCTCAGCAATGTCCCAGGGATTCCCAGCCATATCCCAGGAATTCCCAGCAGTGTGCCAGGGATGCCCAGCACTGTCCCAAGGATCCCCAGCAGTGTCCCAGGAATTCCCAGCTGTGTTCCAGGGATCCCCAGCAGTGTCCCAAGGATCCCCAGCAGTGTCCCAGGGGTTCCCTGCCCGTTGCCCTTTCCCAGAGCTGGTGGCCTGCACAGGGAGCTGTGCCCTGCTCTGGGGCAGCAGCAGCAGCAGCAGTGAGGGTCCAGGCTGTGCCCGAGGGTCCAGGCTGTGCCCGAGGGTCCAGGCTGTGCCCCAGGGTCCAGGCTGTGCCCCAGGGTCCGGGCTGTGCCCAGGGCACTGCAGCCCCTCCATGGCCATTGTGTCCCCGCAGGCACTGCCTATGTGCTGACCTGCTACTTCACCAACTGGGCCCAGTACAGACCTGGAGAGGGCAAATACACCCCTGAGAACATCGACCCCAACCTGTGCAACCACCTGATCTATGCCTTCGCTGGCATGAACAACAATGAGATCACCACCTACGAGTGGAACGACGAGACCCTGTACAAGTCCTTCAATGGCCTCAAGAACCAGTGAGTGCTGGGAGCTGGGGCTGCTGCTCCCTCTGGGGCTGGCCAGGCCAGGGCAGGGCAGGGGGACAGCGCCGTCCCCTGAGCTTGGGGACAGCAGCTCCGAGTGCTGCCCTTTGTCCCTTGGCCTTTGCCACCAAAAGGACCTGGGCTGCAAAGGCCACGGTGACACCAAACCCCCGGGGTCACTCCAGTTCCTGTCCCTTCCTTGCAGGAACAGGAACCTGAAGACCCTGCTGGCTATTGGAGGATGGAATTTCGGCACACAGAAGTGAGTCCAAGGCAGCTCTTTCCAATCATGACTCCCAGCAAAGGGAGGGAAAGGAGGAAGAGGCTCCATCCAACCCTAAACGTGTCCTGCTCTGCTTGCCCAGGTTCACCACCATGGTCTCCACACCCCAGAACCGCCAGACCTTCATCAACTCCGTGGTCAGGTTCCTGCGCCAGTACGGATTCGATGGGCTGGACCTGGACTGGGAATACCCCGGCTCCAGGGGCAGCCCCGCCCAGGACAAGGCTCTCTTCACCGTCCTGGTTAAGGTGGGCTCAGCTCCAGGCTCTGCTGGCCACAGCTCTGGCCCCTGAGCCCTGCGTGCCTGCAAAGCCCCAAGGTGAGCCCCCAGGTGATTGCTGTGCCTTGGATCCCTCAGGAACTGCTGGCAGCCTTCGAGCAGGAAGCCAAGCAGACCAACCAGCCCCGGCTCCTGGTCACTGCTGCTGTGGCCGGAGGACTTTCCACCATCCAGGCTGGCTACGAGATCGCTGAGCTGGGCAAGTGAGTGGCAAACCTGGGGTCACTGGTGGCACTGGGTGTGTTGGTGGCAGTGGAAGCTGCAGAGAGCCCCTGAGGGAGCCCCATGTGCAGGGGCTGTGGGGGTGAGGGGCACCCTCAGCTCTCAGGTGAGGACACAGCCCCTGTTCCCTGCAGGTACCTGGATTACATCCACGTCATGACCTACGACTTCCACGGGCCCTGGGACGGCTCCACGGGCGAGAACAGCCCCCTGTTCAGCAGTGGCAGCACCCTCAGTGTTGTGAGTGCCTCTGGGGACTCTGTCCCAGAGCTGCTGTCCCCACGGCACATCCTGGCCCACACCTGAGCCGTGCTGCCTTTTGCAGGAATACGCCATGAATTATTGGAAGAACAACGGTGCTCCAGCTCAGAAGCTCCTGGTGGGATTCCCAACCTATGGAAAAACCTTCACCCTGCAGTACCCATCCAACACTGCCGTGGGAGCCCCAAGCTCTGGGCCTGGCCCTGCTGGACCCTACACCAGGGAGGCTGGGCTCCTGGCTTACTACGAGGTGAGTGTGGCATTCACCCTGGCCCTGCAAGGGCAGCCAGGACACGGCTGGGGCTTCCCAGCACGGAATTCCTAACCCAGCCCACATTGCCACTGCCCCTTTTCCCAGATCTGCACCTTCCTGAACTCTGGAGCCACCCAGGCTTGGGATGCCCCCGAGGATGTTCCCTACGCCTACAAGGGCAACGAATGGATTGGATATGATAACGTCAAGAGCTTTGGCCTCAAGGTTTGGGGACAGCAGGAAGGGAACGAGCTGGGATGGGACCAGAGCCTCCAGTGGGATCAGCTCCTGGGGCTCACCGGGATTCTCCTCCCCACAGGTGGATTGGCTGAAGAAGAACAACTTTGGAGGTGCCATGGTCTGGACCATCGACCTGGATGACTTCACTGGCACCTTCTGCCACGAGGGCAAATACCCCCTGATCTCCACGCTGAAGAAGGGCCTGGGGCTCTGAATGTGCCGTGAGTGACACTCCAGGGACACTTTGGGGTTTGTGCCCCAAAGGCTGCGGTGCTGGGAACGCCGTGGGGCCATGAATGGAGGGTGGGGAGGAGGGGGCATTTAATCATCATCCCTTCCCCAAGGAAAATCCTGCTTGCTTTGCAGGCTGCAAGAGCTCTGCCCGTCCTCACGTCCCTGCAGCTGCTGGAGGTGGCAGTGGGAGAGCAGGAGCAGCTGCAGTGCCCACGGTGGGGACTGGCCACGGAGATCCCGATCCCGTTCCAGCTCAGCAATCCCTCTGATCCCATTGCACACAATGAGAATGATTAAATAAAGCTTCACGCAAAACCAACGACTTCCTGCTTCTGCTCTTTTTGTCCTTTACGTTTTGTTGCTTCCTGATTCCCTCAGGATATTCACACTTGTGCTCGTGGCAGGGCTTGGATTTAATCCCAGCCAGGCGTTTTTTTTTTGCTGCCGTACCCTGGCAGCCACTTGGAAACCGAGAGAGGAACTGTTGTTGATCCCCAAGGCTGTGACATCACAACCTCAGGCTGCTCCCTGAAGCCAGCCCAGCACATTCCAGAGGGAAATGCCGAATTCTGGCCTTTTCCCTGCTGCCTCCCTGCTCTGCCATCCCCCTGCCCCGTGGCTGTAGCAACAGGAGCACGCAGAGCCCATCCCGGGAGCTGTGGCAGGGCGGGATGGCAGCGCAGCGTGACCCGAAAGGTGAGAGCTGGGGGCGCCCAGGGAGGGCTGTGCTTTCTTCTCCTTCGCCTCCCCACTGGCACCAGCTTCCCCAGCAATCTCAGACCCCAATTCCTTGCTCAGGCCGGGAAAAATCAACCCCTTGTGGCTTCGAACAGGCAGAGCCCAAGGGCAGACCCCTCCCAAATATCCAGGGCCAATGCAGGGGATGAAGGCAGAGAGCAGCACGTGCTCACTCTTTTTTCTCTCTTTTCTCTCTTTTTTTCCTTGTTTATCCCACGGGTGGCATTCCCCTGTGCCCGGCCCCCAGCCGTGCAGAAGCTCATCTCCTTTGGGACAACCCAAGATCGGAAAATGTTCCCGTTCTACTATGCCCCAGACAGGCTGGGGATCGAGATGCCAGGGGTGAGGGGCAACCCTTCCCTGGGGCCAGGCTGCTACCTGGGGCCGGAGGTGAGCTCTTCTTTCACTTTGGGGTTATTTATAGAAGGCACAGCAGAAAAGGGGCCACACCTGCCCTGCAAACCCACGGCAGGATGTCCCAAATCCGCCTGGAAAAAGGAACTGGCTCCTTTCCTATCAGATCCTCAAGGTTCTGCCACAGTGAGAAATTAAGGGATAATTAGGAATAACTTTATTAGGAATAGTATCTGCTGCTCATGCACTCTTGCCCTGCAAACTTGCTGCAGGATGTCCCCAAATCCGACTGGAAAAAGGAATTTTCTGCTTTCCCAACCGATCCTTGAAGTTCTGCAATAGTGAGAAATTAAGGGAATAATTAGGAATAACTTTATTAGGAATAACATTTGCTGCTCAGATACTCCTGCCCTACAAATCTGCTGTAGGATGTATCCAAATCCACCTGGAAAAAGGAATTAGCTCCTTTCCCAACCCATCCTCGAGGTTCTGCAATAATGAGAAATTAAGGGAATGATTAGGAATAAGTTTAATAGGAATAACTTTATTAGGAATAACTTTATTAGGAATAACCTATTTAGGAATAGTATTTGCTGGTCATGCACTCTTGCCCTGCAAACTTGCTGCAGGATGTCCCCAAATCCACCTGGAAAAAGGAATTAGCTCCTTTCCCAATCAATCCTTGAACTTCTGCAATAGTGAGAAATTAGGGGAATTATTAGGAATAATTTTAATAGGAATAACATTTCCTGCTCAGATACTCCTGCCCTACAAATCTACTGCAGGATGTCCCCACTCCACCTGGAAAAAGGAATTTTCTCTTTTCCCAATCGATCCTTGAAGTTCTGCAATAGTGAGAAATTAAGGGAATAATCAGGAATAACTTTATTAAGAATAACATTTGCTGCTCGGATAATTCTGCCCTGCAAACGGTGCCTTTGAAGCATCAACAATAAACAATTTTGTCTTTGGAACTGCAGTCAAACATCCTGAAATCCTCCATAAGCACCCGACCCATGAGCACCAGGGGCTACGTGATGGGAGCCAGGACAGCCCCACGCTTCCAGAGGAAGGCTCAGGTAAGGAAACGCCCCCCAAAAAAATGGGGAAAAAAAGGCCAAAATATCCAAAACGTCCACCTGGGAATGTGGGTGGTTTTTGGGCATAGAATGCTCCATGCTGAGGGGTTTTTGTCCCCCCCCAGATGGTGACCCCTGGCCCTGCCACGTACCAGCCCGTGCTGGGGGAGGAGAGGAGGTGCCAGCCTGCCCACGTCCCCTTTTCCTCCAGCAGCCCGAGATTCCCAACCAGGATTCTGGATAAGGATTTGTTCCCTGGGTAATTGAAATTATTTTCTCACAATGAGCAGGAGTCCTGGCAGGGAGAAATGCACAAATGGGAGATGGGGATGGAGTCCCTTGTAAAGCTTTTGATCTCCCAAAATAAAAGCTTTCTTTCTCCAAAAAGATGGGGTTTTTAATCTCCAAAAAGATGGGGGTTATTATCTCCAAAAATAAGGATTTTTATCTCCAAAAAGCTCTCCCTGTTTTAGGTTTTAGCTTAGGGACAATGACTGGGACACCACAGCATGGAATTCCCATGGATCTTTCCCTGCTGGAAACAAAAACTGCTTCAAAACCCAGGTCAAGGTTCTCGATGCTGTCTCACATCTTCCTTTTCTGAGGAATTATTGTTGCTATTAAGGAATAATTACATTTTCAATGGGCACGAAGGTAAATTCTGGAATTACAAACACCAAAACCAGCTCCAAAGTGGAGATATCTGGTGCCTGTTTCCTTTAGGCCTGGAAATTACGACATAGATCAGCCTTTAAACAGAAAAGTCACTTGGCCAATGAAGTTTGGGGCTCCAGATTGGGCTGCAGTGCCAGCACTGCCCCAGAGGATGGTGAAACTGCAGGTCCAGAAGGTAAGGATGGGGGTCAGGGGATGGGATTCCTGCCTGAAAGCTTCTGGGACAGGAAATTTCCTTTTTATTTCCTATTTTCACTGTTTTGTTTTCATTTCCTGCTTCTGAGTGAGGAAATTTCCTTTTCACTTCGTATTTTCACTGCTTTGTTGGCCTCTCCTGCCTGAAAGCTTTTGCATAATTTTTTGGTATCTTTTCCTGCCCAGGGCACAAGTCACAAAGTGATTTTCTCTCAGAAAATACCTGTTTGCAAAACCCTTCCAAAAAAACCCCTTTTATTCAGAATTTCCTCTGGAAGTTTCTATCCCCAAAGAGAGCATAATGGGGCCTCCACTGCCTTGTGTGGCTCTGCTGGAAGGAAAATCTCATTTAAAGCAAAGGTTTAGGTCTCACCCTTTCATTTTCTGGAGCATTTTCATTGTTATTAATGAAAAATTGTGATTTTTTTAGATGACTGTGGATAAAAATTTCCGGAAAAATCAGGGCAGAGAGGCATACCTGAAGTTGTACCAGAGCTGAAGAGCCACATCCTCCTTCCTTTGGAGACACTCACCTGCACCACCAGGTTAAATAAATCAAGTCTTTTAAATGTTTTATATGTTTGAAATGAGCTCTGCTGAGCTGTAGCAAAAACAGCTCAATATTCTCAATGCAATGCTCAGCACAAGTGCAAAACCAACCCCATTCCAGCCACTTGGGAAGAAAATCAACTCCAGAATTGTTTGCCCCTTTTCATCCCTCATTAAACTTTTAGAAATTCTGAAGTGAACTTTGTTTCTTACACCCTCAAAATCCAACTCTTCCCAAGGCAGGGAAGGAGCCAAACAAGCTCAGCCTAAGAGCAGCTCCTCCATTTCCTCAGAATGAACATTCCAACCTTCCCCTCAGCTTTTCCCCCACAATTTTCTCCTCATATTCAGCCCAGAGGATTCCTCCACAACCTGAGGAAAAAAAAATGAGCAATATTGAGGTGGTTTTTGGCACTCTCAGAGAGTTTTTAATGGTTTTGTGCTCAACACCCTGAAAACATTGGAGGCAGAGAGGCCAGGTTGGGCCAGGCCCCACCAGGCCCCACCAGGCCTCACTAGGCCTCACCAGGCCATACCAGGCCCCACCAGGCCTCACTAGGCCCCACCAGGCCCCACCAGGCTTCACTAGGCCCCACCAGGCCATACCAGGCCACACTAGGCCTCACCAGGCCTCACTAGGCCCCACCAGGCCTCACCAGATGGATTTTTGCATTTTGGTTCCTTCACTGCTGAAACAAAAATATTCTCAACTAAAGAACAAGCAAAAAAGCTCGAAACTGAGAATTTGGCCACAAAAATAAACGTGGCCTGAAACAGAAAGTTCCTGGTGTCATGGCAGCTGTTTCCCGCTCAGGCCTTTGATTTCTGTGTTTCCAAACCCTCCCACACGTGGATGTGTCTGATCACAATCCCAGAGAGATCTTGGAGAGACAAAATCCCTCTGGGTGTAATTCCAGCTCCTCTCCTCTTCCAATTTCCTACCTTTTTTTTTTTTTTTTTTTAACCTGTTTCTCTACCAAATTTCACCCGCAGCCCAATTTTAGCCATAAAACCAAAATTTATTTGTCCAATTCCCACTTTCAGGAGCTCTCCCAGCTGCTCCCAGCCTGATTTTTTCAGTCACAACTGTGCCTTTTTGGTGCAAGATTTTGAAGTAAGATTTGGCTCCCTGGAATTTTTCTTGTCCTGAAAATTGGAGTTTTTAGGCTGCTTAATGCTTCACTTTTGTATTCCTGGCTGACACTGTGGCTCACCTCCACTTAATTCTTCCTAATAAAAAAAAAAAGTGATGTATGAGGTGTTTTCCCACTCCTGAAATGTGAAGGAATCTATTTTGCTTGTAGGAGATTTCTTTTATTATGAACATAAAAATCACAATTTTCTCATAAGGAGATAAAATTTCTTTTATTATTAACATAAAAACTACAATTTTCATTCCACTTTTTTTTCCCCTACCCAGCAAGGGATTTTTCTCCTTGCAGAAAAAAAAAAAAAAGGTTAAAAAAAGATAAAACCTTTGGATATATACAAACATATACAGGGTATGTCTGTACATTTGTCATTCTGTACAAGCAAGGCACCAGCAGAAGTGACAGTGGCACACACAGGGGGAGGAGATTGAGATTTAATTTCATATTTTTTGGCAGGAGATCATTGAAAAAAAGTAACTTTTTTTTTTATTTTCATCCATCCTGGATGATGGGGGAAGAGGGAGGATCCTTTTAACTGCATGGAGGTGAACTTGGAATTTTTGGGAGATTGGACCAAACCACAGGAGCCTTTTCTCATCGAAATTTAACCCACATTATGCCTAAGAAAATACTAAGGAAAATTAAAGCAAAACCAGAACCAGCCAATAATGACAACACTGGCACAAAAATAAATGAAATAAAGCAGGGGAAAATCAACTTTAGGTGATAAAAGCATTGCTGCCATCAGTGCAAGCTTTGTTCCATTTTCCAGCTTCCAAAGCAACTGGGGAAGGAGGGAACTCTCCAAGGACTCGAGCTGTGTGGAAAACAACAATGAACTGCAAAGGAGCCCGAAGCAGCTGTGACAGGAAAACCATGTCAGGGTTTTCTCTCAAACTTGAGAGGTTTTCAGTCCCCAGCACAGCTGCAAAGTGGAAATTAAATGTCCTTGGAGCTCTGGATTTACACCTCACTCATTTACCAGCACACCAAAACCCTTCAGGTTATAAAAGAAAAGATTTGTTTGCTTTTACCTGCCAAGAATGCAAAAGGAGGAACCTCCCCTGGGAGGTTTCTTTGCTAATACACATTCCTTGGATTTAAGGGGTGGTGGAAGTTTCTTTTTCCAGCCTGCCAGGCACCAACACACCAAAGTGTTCTGCTGGGAAGTGGGAGCAGGAAAATCCCCAAGTCCCACAGCTCCAGCCCCTGTGTCCTCCAAAATCCAAATCCAATCTCTTTGTCCTCCAAATCCAACTCCTGTGCCTTCCAAATTCAATTCCTGCATCCCACAGCTCCAGCCTGTGTCCTCCAAATTCAAATTCAAATTCAAATCCAAATCCAAATCCAAATCCAAATCCAAATCCAACCCCTGTGTCCTCCAAATCCAAATCCAGTCCCTGTGTCCCACAGCTCCAGCTCCTGTGCCCTCCAAATCCAAGCCCTGAGTCCCTCCAAGTCCGGGGTCCTTCAGCTCTTCAGAAAATAAATCCTGCCCACAGTGGAATCCAAAGTCCCCCAGACAATTCCCAGGTGGTTTTCCTGGACCATCCCAGCTTGCAGAGGGAAGAGGGAGCACGGGAAAGCAGGATGGAGGTGGAGTTCACCATGCAGAGAGATCCTTCTTCAGCTGGACTGCCTCTCCTGACCCCTGTGAGTTTCTCAGAGCAGCCAAAGGGATTTCAGGTGCCCCCTTCACTTCTTCCTGCGGATTTTGGGTTTTTTCACGGGCCGCAGGTAGGGATTGTCGATCACGTTCTCCTCCCCGTTCCTGCTGCCTGCCAGGGAGCTGTTCTGCTGCAGCACTGACGTGTTCTCCTTCTCAGGTCCTGCATCATCCTGCCACAGCCAAAAAACAACAATAAAAAAAAAAAAAAAACAAAGTCGGGCTTAGAAATCTTTCTGCCCACAGAATCTCATCCCTGGAAGTGTCCGAGGCCAGGCTGGAAAATGTGGGATAGGGGAAGGTGTCCCTGCCCATGGGACAAGATTTTTATGGTCCCTCTCACCCCAAACCATTCCAGGATTCCAAGTTCAAACCCCAGAGCCTGTGGGCAGGAGGGATAATCAACAGCCAAGCACACAAGGAGCTGCATTAAAGGCCAGGCCTCCTGGTTTCTAACACAGGAAAATCCCTTGGGAAACTCTGGGATCCAAGGAGAAGCCTCTTCCTTGTCACTGAAATTTGGGATTTACTGAAAGCTCCTGCTCCAGCCTCGTTCTGCACTGAACTCTGCAGGGAGCTGAAAAACATTTCCCATTTCCCAGGAAAGAGAACCAGAATTCCAAACTGGAGAAACCTGACAAAGTTCAGTTCCATTTCCCAGGAGACAAAGCCAGGTTTTCCTAAGCTGAAGAAACCTGACAATATTTAGCTCCATTTCCCAAGAGACAGAGCCAGAATTCCAAACTGGAGAACCAGGACAAAGTTCAGTTCCATTTCCCATTTTCCAGGAAACAGCCAGAATTCCAAACTGGAGACCAGGACAATGTTTAAACCCATTTCCCAGGAAACAGAGCCAGAATTCCAAAGTGGAGTAACAGGACAATGTTCAGTTCCATTCCCCATTCCCCATTTCCCAAGAGACAAAGCCAGGTTTTCCAAGCAAGAGAATCCTGATAAAGTTCAGTTCCATTTCCCAGAAGGCAGAGCCAGAATTCCAAACTGGTGAACCAGGAAACAGAGCCAGGTTTTCCAAGCTGGAGAACCCTGACAAAGTTCAGTTCCATTTCCCATTTCCCAGGAAACAGAGACAGGTTTTCCAAGCTGGAGAACCCTGACAAAATTCAGTTCCATTCCCCATTTCCCAGGAGGCAGAGCCAGGTTTCCAAGCTGCAGGAATGGTCCCCAGGAGCCTCCCCAGGGTGGCCCTACCGTGCTCATGTGCAGTGGGAGGTTCTCAGTGTCCGTCTGCTCGTCCTGCTCCGAGGAATCCGTCTCCTCCATCTGCTGCATCTCCAGCTCGGAGGGGAGCAGAGCTGTCAGGTAGGGCACAGTGAAAGGCCTGGCAGCAATCACTGGGCTCAGGGAAAAGAGGAGACACAGTCAGGAAGCTGGGAGAAATCCCTCCCCTGAGAAATTAAGGACAGGGGTTACACAGATCAAACATTTCGCTGGTTCTGGGTTTGGACACATTTCCTCTTCCTGCTGTTGCCAAGGATCAGGAAAATCTGATCTCTAAAAGATGGCAGTCTACACTTCCCAATTTTCTGATCTCTTTATGCTTCCAGCCAAGGACACAGTAAATCCTTCCTGAGCTCCACCACAAAATCCCAATTATCTGGGAAGTTGGGCTCCTCTCCAGTGAAGCTGTGCTGCCAGCAAGCCCTGGGAATTCTCCTCACTGCTCTGCAGGCAGGGAGACAAGAAAACTCCCAGAAGCAGGAAAATGTCAGGGAGAACAAATTCCTTGGTGAGGTCACAGGGGTGGAGCCAGGATTGGGATGAGATTTGGATTTAGACTTTCTCCACCAGGACAACAAAGGGAGCCTTGGGAATTCTCATCATTACTCTGCAGGCAGAGAGATAAGAAAATTCCCAGATGCAGGAAAAAGAACAAATTCCTTGGTGAGGTTACAGCCAGGATTGGGATGAGATTTGGATTTAGACCTTCTCCACCAGGGAGAACAAAGGGAGCCTTGGGCAGTTCAGGAGCTGCTTTCAGCTTTTCCCCCCTGTTTCAACCCCCAAATCCCTCCTTTCCCAACCTCCCAGCGCCTCAGCAGGGCAAACACGCACGGGACAATCCCCAAACCCTAAAGGGATGCAAAATCCTGGAATCACTGACGTGGGAACGTGCTGACATCGTCCTTGAAGAGGCTCTGGGTCTCTCCTGTCTTGGCCATGAAGCGGGTGAGGGCCCTTTCCACGTCCCTGCGCTGCGACGCCGCCTTTTCCCGCAGCACCTGATAGTCAGACACCGGCTCCCGGTAGGTCTGGGAGGGGAAAGGGGAGGAAAGGGAAGGCATGGAACAGCTCCACTTGCAAAGATCAACGGGATGGAGGAGCTGCAGGCTCTGCTCTTCGGTGTCCACGGGGATTTGGGGAGTTACAGGGCTCCAGCAGGCAGAAATTCTGTGCTGGGAAGGGGCTGGGTGTGGATAATGGGATGGGCCAAGGATCCTGAACTGGGAAAGGATCCTGAACTGGGAATGGTCTGGGAGCAGATAATGGGATGAGCCAGGTAATGGATAATGGGATGGGCCAGGGATCCTGAACTGGGAATAGTCTGGGAGCAGATAATGGGATGAGCCAGGTAATGGATAATGGGATGGGCCAAGGATCCTGAACTGGGAAGGGATTCTGAACTGGGAATAGTCTGGGTGTGGATAATGGGATGGATTAGGGATCCTGAACTGGGAATGGTCTGGAAGCAGGTAATGGGATGGGTCAGGTAATGGATAATGGGATGGGCCAAGGATCCTGAACTGGGAATGGTCTGGGTGTGGATAATGGGATGGATTAGGGATCCTGAACTGGGAATGGTCTGGGAGCAGATAATGGGATGGGCCAGGGATCCTAAATTGGGAAAGGATTCTGAACTGGGAAAGGTCTGGGAGCAGGTAACGGGATGGGCCATGAAATGGATAATGGGATGGATTAGGGATCCTGAACTGGGAAAGGTCTGGGAGCAGGTAATGGGGAAGGATTCCATCCCAAGGAATGTCCACAACCCACAAACAAGGAATATTTGAAGCCAGGAAAAACAATACTTGGGATAACCAGCACCAGCACTGCAGTAAAAAAACACCACTCCTGGTGGTGTTCAGATCCCAGCCAGCACAAAAGTCAGACAGAAATCCTGGGATTCTGGCTGATTTCTGGATCCCAAGGGATGCCCACAACCCACAGAAGAGAAATACTTTTGATAAATGACAGCAGCACTGCAGTAAAACCACCCCACTCCTGGAATTCAAACAGATCCCAAGCAGCATAAAAACGTTGTTTTCACTCACTGGTGTCTTGATGTACGTGTGGGGATCTGGGAACTCTGGGAAGTGGCCGGGAATGTGGGGTGGATGAGGCTTGTTCTGCCCAGCTGTCAGGGCTTTGGGGGTCACAGGCTGGTTTGTCACTGGAGCTGCAGTGGGAAATGCAGGAATCAGGGGAAACACAGGAATCCTCCTGCCCAGGGCCCCCAAAAAGCTGTGACCCCATCCAAGACACGGGGCACATCCCATGACCTTGGGATTGGCATCCCAGAAGGGAAAAGAATCCCTTGACCCCTCTGTCCTGCAAACAAAACCACCCTGAGGGTGACCCAGCTCCCTTCACCTCCGGTGGTGTCACTACAGGAGCCCCCAAATTCCCGGGATTATCCCACAGAAAGCTCATCAGGAGCTCTCTGGAAGGCAGCAGAGAGGAATTCCAGGTTATTCCCAGCTCCCCACGTACGAGCAGTGATCACCATCCTCTGGGAACGCTTGGCATAGGCAGGAAGAGTTTCCACATTGAACCCTGGAACACAACAGAGGAAAACAAGAATCACTCCAGGAGTTTATCCTGTTAAAATCCATCCCTCCCCAGAATTTTCCCCAAATTAAACAAGAATGGGATGGGCTAGGGAGTGGATAATGGGATGGGGGCAGAAAATGGGAATGATCAAGGAAAACCATGAGCTGTGTGTGCCCACAGCAGCAGGCACTGCCCAAATCCCAGATTTTGGGGGCAGAATTCCCAACCCAAAGGTGAAAAGAGTGGGAGGAGGGAGCTGCTGACCCATTTCCACGAGGGTCACCACGATGTCTGAGAGCGTGGGCTGGGTCCTGGCTGTGTGCTCGCAGTAGGACTTGGCACTCCTCCCAATTTCCGAGATATCTGCAGGATAAAAACCACCCCAGGTTTAATCCCCACAGTGGATCACATCTCTGTCAGCTCCAGGGATGGGATTTTTTTAACAGATTCGGCAAAGAATGAAAAATAGCACCCTGGAATGGAGGAGCATTTTGCAGGATGTGTGTTTAAAATTATAGGGATGCTAAGGATTAAAAAAAATCGGTGTTTGTCACAAAGGCAAAAGGCAAATCTGCAACTAATAATATAAAATATAAATTCTTTAACATTTGCATGCAACTTACAGAAATTACTGTATTACTATGTTTTACTGCTTTTCTTATCTCTAAATTTTATCTGGAACCCTTTTTGCTATGCTTAAGAAAAATGTTTGTTTGCTTCTTAGTATTTGTAACATCTAACATTATCCAAACAAAAAAGCCTTCAAGCATTCAGTTGCTCTCAGCCACACAGTTAAAAATTACTATTATGTCGATTTCAGTTACATT